AACTGCGTTAGTTAAAACATGTTAGGTAGTATTTTACTAATCAAGGCTTTGTAAATAACCAGATTTTGGTTCAGTGGCTGAACAAAAAAGTTGGGGGGGAAACTGTTTCATGTCGAGTCCAAACAAAATTTCTTGAATTTTTGTTGTTGTTTTTTTAAATAATATTGAGGGGAATTCTGAAACAAGAGTCTTTCCTAAGTGAAAAGTCAAAGCAGTTTTGACCTTTCCAAAATGTTTTTTCTTTTCTTTTTTCCAAGTGAACCTATTCACTGAAATTGAGCCAAATTGGCAAATTGTTTTGTTTGACCTGAATCTGCATTTTTTTGGCAAAAACAAACAAACAAAAAAGGATTAGCACAAAAAAATGTCACCCTATTCTACTCCCCAGAACCTCTTGCTCAGAGGAAATTCCTGGTCAATCCAGAGTCAGGCTACTACTGTAGATACGATTATTCATGGTTGGAGATGATACTGGTTAAGCAGGTCATCTTGAAGCCCAGAAGCCTTTAAAAGGCACATTTTGAAGCCTGATGTTTGAAGAGGTTCATATTGTTCCTATCTGTAGCCTGTCCTTCCTAATAATAACAACATCAAAATCACACTGTCAGCTTCCTACGCACCTTCTCAATGGGTTTATTAAACATGACTGAATTAAGCTTCACCACATTCTTGCAAAGTAGGTACCATTTTGCCCTCTTTACCTGTGGGATAATAGAGGTACAGATAGGTGAAATAATTTGACAAAGGAGGTCAAACAAAAAGTTTGTGGCAGAGCTCAGAATGGAACTAAAATCTCCTGGTTCCCAGTTGTATTCTTTAACCCAAAGACCAGCACTTTCTTGGGACTATATATTGACACAGGATAGATCACTTCTGAGCTGCTGACATAATAGTTTTGCAACAGCCAGAAAAGCCCTCACAAATGTCGGAGCTCATTTATACATACGATAATATAAGATTTATATTGTTTGTGCAGCAGGGCTCTTTTAATATGCAGTTTGTTGTTTTGATAGTCTGTATTGTCTTCATATAGTAATCATATTAAAAGACCATATTTTCCCAGAATAAAGATGTAATGATTCACAAGAGGCATAATTATTCCATGTGGTCCAGGTGGGATATTGCAGAAAGAGCTGTGGCGGGATATTGCAGACATTGCTGTCCTCTTTATGTATAAGAGACTTTTGTTGCTGGTGTTCTGCTCAGTAATTAAATTCCTTTGAATGAGAAGGCTTGATTGGATTCCCTTTGGTTTAATGGGAGGAGTCTGAACTGTAAAGTATTTAGTTCAACTGCTATGTAATTTTGGTATCCATTGGGGGAGATGGGGAAAGTCTGATCTTTTATGCTCTAGTTTTACTCCAGTGTAACTCTGTTGAATTCAAAGGTGTTACACTTGATTTATATCAGTGTAATATGAGAATCAGGCCCAGAAATTCTTAGCGAAAAGCACCAGCAATACATATGAATCTAGTCTATAAGGTATTATATATACATATAACCATCCAACTTGATTACTACCTGAGCCTCCTTGTGTGTTCAGCCTGTGCACTGAATGAGACAGGGGTCCTGTGTAAAAAATAGTATGTGATCATGTAATTAAACACTGTATCACAATACAGGCACAAGGAGAAATTAAGATTGTCCCAGCAAACATAAATCTGGTATTTCTGAACTTTCAAGTGCTTGACTTGTCAATCTAAGTAACATTCTTTTAACACAGGTTTGAGTTTGTTATTTTTGTGTGTGTGTGTGTGTGTGATTTCCTACATTTTTTAAAAAAGGAAAATAAAAACATCCTATTATGTACAACTGCAACAACCCCCTCATCATGCATCAGCAGCAGAGTTTGAATCCTGTAGCTTCAGCATAATAGCACAGACTTTTACCACTTGACCCATAGGACTAAATATGTTAACTGGCAGCAGGAGGGAAGGCTGTTATCCCAGAGGGGGGAATGGGCTGCCATCACTGTGTGCTGGGGCCAGGAGGTGGCTGGGGGAGGCCCAACCAAGGTCTCTCTCTTTCCACCACTCTGCTATCCCAATCTGGGAGTTGAGGGAGCTCTTATCCCATGGGGGGCTCCTAAAAGCGAGGATGGGCTGCCAAGGTTCAGGGGTAAGCTGTTGCAGGGAAGGAACCAAGCCTGGCTCGCCTTCTTCCCCATTGCTACAGTTCCTCTGGCAACTCCCATAGATATTACTGGTGGTGCCACTACTGCTGCTTTGGTGGTGGTATGGCCTGTTCTGGGTTCAGTTATTATTTTGCCAGACTTCCAAAATGTTCCGGGGGGAATGCAAGTGAAAAAAGGGAACTGGCGATTTTTAATAGTTTATATCTCAGCTGAACCTGAATGGAATTTCATGGGGAAAAGAAAAGGCCCTTGTCTAATCTAAGGGCTTTCTCTCTTCCTCCAAAGCATGGAGGTGGTAGCACTTCCTGAATAAAAGTTCTAAGAATCTTATATAATAGAAAGTGTTAAGCAACCTACGTATAAGGGGTTGCTACCAGCTCCCCCTATATACACTGTACACACAATACCATCCATCCTATGTATTCATGCCACAGTCCTTCCCAAACCAAACCCCTACTACTTCATCCCCTCCAACCTCTCCCTGTTGCAGTCTTCTCTCTTCCCCACATCTGGCTCCTTGTCCCAGTCCCATTCTCCACTCAGGCTTCTTATCCCAGTTTCCTTGCCCAGCAAGTCCTAATCTTCCCCTTCAGGTTCCCTGTCCAAGTCTCAGTCTCCCCCGACTCCCCATCTCCTTGCCAGCCAGTCTCAGTACCCCTTCCTGGCTCCTTCTCGGATCTGTCTCTCCCCTTTCCACAGCTTTCAATCATCCTCCCACACCCTTGTTTCCCCCAGTCCCAGTTTTCCTCCCTGGTCTTCTCATCTAATCTCAGTCTCTGTTCCCCGCTACTCCCTCCTTGTCACAGTCCCTTCAGCCAGCTGGTCCCAGTACTACTCCTGCTTCCTGGTTCCTCATCAGATCTGCCTTGCCTCTCTCCCCATACTGGTTCCCTGTCTTCTTATGCAGTCAGTACTAGTCTCCCAGTTTTCCCCGTTCCCAGCAGCTCCTCATCTGACCTCCGTGTGTCCCCCTACCAACTGGCTCTCAGACCTCCCCCATTTCCCTCACTACCTCTCAGTTCCACCCTCCCTTCACTTGCTCCCAGTCTCAGTTCCCTTGTCCAACCAGTCCCATTTCCTCCTTGGCCCTCCAGTTCCCAGTCACAGCTTCACTCTCCCGAGTGCCAGTCCCAGAAAGATCCTTATTGCAATCTCCTCCTCTTTCCCCATCTGGCTCTTGTGCCCTCTGCACTTGAGTCATGTGCCTTCCTCCCCTATGGTGCCTGGGCCCAGCAAGGGGGGTCACTGAGAGAGACGGGTTCCCTTATCTCATTTCCAATGCTTAGGCCCATCCTGTGGATGGACCATGCTCAATCACTCGGTGGGGATGGTGCACTCCCAGTCTGGTCATACATATCAGTTGCGAGAAGCTGGAGCATGCTCAGTATGCATGGAATCTTTGGTGATTTTAGCTACAAATCTCTAAGTCTCTACTGAGCTTGTGTGCAGTGTGATTTTTTTCAAACACTTTATAATTTAGCCAATGTGGGGAGATTTTCACAGGAACAGCAAAAGGCACATCCCTAACATGAAGTTCACTCCCTTGACAAATTTCAAGTCCGTGCTCCAAAGCATGGGAGACGCAGATAAAAGTTTGCCAGAATGTTTTCAATATTGAAATACAATGTATTTTTCTCTAACCTTGTTCTTGGAAGTAGTTGTATTGGTTTGACTGAAACTTTCCAAGCTATGTCAGTCTGAGGCAGATACATGGCATGGAAAATTTCAACCCAAACAGTTAAACTTTGGCAAAGTTATAAGTAACTGAAAACAGGCCCTTATAATGGAAATTGTCAGGCAACCTTCATAATAGATGGTGGTATCAGTCTTGCCAATCGTATATGCAAAGTGCCATGCACACCTATAGGACTATATAGATAATAATATAAACTGATGGCTACATGGTAAGAGGAAAGGACATTTATTGGATAGTTATTATTTCAGAAAGCAACAACTGTACACAACAGGGAAGGGGTGCAACAGGGCAAAAACTTGTAAATGGCAGTGTTGCCTGTATTCATGTTTGCACCTGAAATGTATTTGGAAAGCTCAATTATCTCTCTCTGTTGGTAATCAAACTTGGGAGTGCTCATGAATTATCTAGTCTTTCTTTCCCTTGGGGAATATCAGGCCTGATGTCTGTCTGGAGCTGATTATATTTCCTGATTAATTTTTGTAATTGCAGCCAGAACATTTTGGTTTATTATCTTTACTCTTTCTCATTGGCTGACAGGAGTTTTTACCCAATAAATTGCATGCCCCATTGTCCTCCTTTTCCTTCTGACCTTCATGCTTTAAGTGCAAGGGAATAAGAGAATGATGGATGCATAACCCGCATCCTCTGTTATTCATGTAGCACCATTAGGCAAATGAGACCAGTGCCTCATCCCATCAGGAACATGCTTCCCCCCCCCCTCCTTTCAAATTTAACAGTAAATGCCCCCTGATTCTGAAGAAATAATTACTCCAAAACAAAACTAACACAGCTGAATCAGACGGAGCCACACTCAACTCTGCTGTAACTCCAATCACTTTGGTGCAGTTACACCTGTTATTATTATTTAGTACCAGAGCTATGAATTTGTCTCATTACCCATTGTCACTTCTTAAAACCCAGCAGCTGCATTCAGTTGTCTGTACAGCAGTTGCAGCAGCAATTACTTCTGAAGTTCCCAACAGCATACACGTTACTCTGCCCATGCTGAGGGCTCTGGCCGGTGGATTCCAGTTGGCTATGTGTGATATTGCAAAGAGAGTTAAACTAATTGCACAAAACAACTTTTTAAACAAGATGTTCAATGGCTGAATAGAAATGATCTACATTTCATTGATCTATATTTCTCTTCACTGGCTTCCCGCCAAGCAGAAACTATCATACCTGAAGATTACCTGATTGACCCTATGAACATGAAGCGCTACAGTGTTGATCCTTCTGATTCTGCCTTTAATTGCATGGGCTCCCTGTATACCATGAGACAGAGCTCTGGAGATGGACATCTTGCTGGAGGCTCCTCTTCCTCTTGCAGTCATCGTTCCGGTCCGATGTCCTCCGGGGGACCATCATCTACTGGTTTGAGGCATCAGACATCCAGCCCAACTAGAAACGGAACCTATCTTGAAGGAAACAGAAGTGGTAACATAATATATACAGTATATGATTCCATCTTGATATTAACCATGTGTGTTATTTTGTTCTCCTGTGGCTCCATCCCACAGTCCTTACTCACCCCAAACTCCCTTTGATGTTAAGTGTGTTTCATGTAAGAGCTACAGAATAATAACCCCAGTAGTCAAATCACAAACACTGAGAGTTAGAGGAAGCAATAGCAAACTATGGAGAAGGAGAAATAAATGATGAAAACGTTGTCCAGAAGAAAACATGAATGTTTTCTGGTACTCTTACTATTCAATTTAAATCTGTTATGTGTAATGCATATGACAGAACTGGAGTAATTGGTTTTATGGCTATAAATATTCATCTGAATATCAAGTTATTCATTCCCCAAATTCGACACAGTTCAAACATATGCAGGTACCTATTATTTATAGAGCTCAATAAGTGTACATGGTGCTGTGCAATGCAGATCCCAACAGCCAGCTGACAAAATAAAGTCATGATTCTTATCATTAATTATCTCAACAAAAGGGATTATTTCCTAGCTGTACTTCATAGCCCACTATCACTCTTCACCTACGTATTATGTCAAATTTCATCACAAAAAGTTTGTTGAGAAACATGTAATCTTTATAAACCCAGGCTGCTTACTGCTCATTGCTCCATTATCCGTTAAGGGCTCGCTTCTGCTCCCTTTAAAGTTAATAAGAGTTTTTCTACTGAATTCAATAGGTGTTGGTTGAGCCTTATGTATTTAATGATTTTACCCCTTCAAATTTTTTGTTCCAGTATTTTACTTGGGCTTAAGCTTATGTAGCCTGATCCTTGGCCCCATTAACACTGCTTTGTACTGCTCTGGTTATACAAAACAGCCTTTAAAACAGTTCCGATGGCAATAAGAGTATTCTCTCAGTGAAGAATTCTCTGACAGTATAGAGCCAATGTCGGCGTATGGGTGGGTTAAAGAGGCAGCCAGCCAGGGGTAAAGTAGAGGAGCCCTGTGTGACCAGGTAGAGACCTATCCAGCAGCCAGATGGCCACAGAATCAAGGGAGAATGGAGGAAGGGGGTCACAAAAAATGGCTTACTGCTCCCTTTCAATGCATCCCTTCTGAGCAGTGATGATTGCAGTACAGGATCTCAGTCATGGTGCAGTAATTACTGGAATTGTTCTCCTTTCCTTTTTTTGGAAATCAGAATTAATTTACTTTTTCCCAGCCTTTTAGTATCCACGATTTTGCAAAAATAATTGTCAATGTTTCATTGTTAACTAATTCTCTTACTCTAAAATCCATATCTTTGTTCACTTTTTCCAAGTATTCCATTAGCTTCTCTTTATCATTAGAGTGATTTTAACAGTGTCTTCCTTCCTTTCTAATTATTCAAACTCCATTTATATGTTTTTCATCTTAAAGACAGATTTAACAAAGGAATTCAGTGTCTCAGCCATTTTAAGTCATTAATTTCTTTCCCTTCCTCCTTTATTAATGGGACCTACTGTCATTCTAGAATTTCTTTTTCCCTTGATATATTTGCAGAAGCCTTTCTTATTTCTCTTCACCCACCCCCGTCTAGCATTAACTTATGACAGCAAAAAAAGCATATTTCCCTTGCAAGCCTTAACTGGCTATGAGCATTGCTGCGTGGTTTCCTCCCCAATTACAGTTGTCAGTAAAATATTATATTAACATCAGATCTTTGAGTAATCTTTCATGAATCCACACTGATCTTTAATGCATTTCCTGCATTCTGCACGCTGAATTGCATTGAACTGTAGGCCATTCCTCTTAACTGTAGTGTCTTTTTGGATTTAACAGTCACCTTTCAAAATGGTGCTGTGACAGACTGACAACCTTCTGTAATATCCCGAACAAATCTTATGGAATGAAGATAAATTTTATTGAGCTACATGAACTCTTATTGAATGAAGGTTAATACCTTTGGGGTACATTGTATTAAAAATGCAGTTGTGTATGTGGTGTTGTGGCTTTGTATGTACCTTTTCTAGTAGGGAGGGGAGATGCTACTGTATTTGCTCCGTTTTCAAACCTTTGAAGCCCCTCATCCCCCAGAAGGTGTGCATGCACTACACGCTTGCAGTCTTTTTTATTCTTTTTCATGTGTTTTCTCTGTAGTGCTTTCCTCTTCAGAATAAAATAGGCTTGCTTAGAAAGAACTGTGTGGTACTTATAACTGTAGCAATCACCCCTGTTAACCATCCCTGAAGAGAAAGCAAGCAGGTGTCCTTGGGCAGCCTGTCTCTGTTGGGAACAACACAGTGAAGGCAGAAAGCTGTGCAGCCTGGAAATACCCTGGTCAGAAGGGAGAGAGATGTGGGTTTCCACCCAGAAAGGCAATGGCTGGGGAGCTGGAAGCCTGATACCGGGTGCCATTGCTGGACCAATGAGGGGAAATACAGCTGCACTTGCCCTGAACTGTGACAGGTGCTTTTCCAAATGTCCTTGTATTTCACCTCCACATCTCTTTAATCCTTGACCCTGGTCTTCTCATAGGCTATGTCTACAGTGCAACTGGATTGCAATCGAAGGTGTGGTTGCAGCTTAGCCAGGCATAACCACACTAGCTTTAATCTGATTAGCAGCACTGACTTCAGCACAGGCTAGCAATATGAGTATGTACCCAGGATTCTCACTGTGCTTATACAGCCTGGGCTGAAGAACCATGCCACTGTGTCTTCACTGTTATTTTAGCTGTGCTAGCTAAATGAAAGCTAGAACGGGTATGCCTAACGGAGTTGCAATCAGACCTTCCCGTTCAGTTCAGTGGCAGTGTAGACATAGACCCAAACGCTATCATGTTCTGCAATATTGTTTCAAAAACACTGTCACATTCTGGTCAATCCGGGCCCACTCGAGTACCCATTTAAGTGATCCTCTCCATTGACTTCAATTGGTGTTGGAATGATTTTTTCTGTAGTATATTCTTCATTCAGTGACTCTCTTCTCAAACACCTAAAGTTCTCTTGCGCCCAGCCCGAGTTTATGCACTTAAAGTGTCTTTCCAGCATCCCATCCGTTCCCATCGGGTTCTATCTAGCTTCATGTGTCCAGGATGTGGACAACACCAGTGACTGCCCAGGAAGCAGTTTATTACAATTTTCACAAAACCGATTGCCTTTGAAACCTGCCTAGACATTATCCCAATACTTAGAGTCAGCTCTTCTGTAGCAGGTTAGGAAACAAAGCGGGGGAGAGGGGAAGAGAAATGTTTAAAAAAGTAGCTTGGGCCCAGGCACTAGACCCATTTGGTTGTTTTTGAGGTGAGTTGGCAGAACTTCAAGCTGCCACATAAAACACAAGGAGATAATGAGTCTCTGCCAAAACCGTTTAATACTTTTTCATGTGACTCATGCACACGAGACCAGCAAGACCTGGCCAGCCGGGGAGCTGAACAGGTGTTCTAGCCAAAAAAGGAAAGGATGAGGGTTCCATGTAGCTGATATTTGTTATTTGTACGTGAAGCGGAAAATTGGCAGATTAATCCACAACATAACATGGATATACTCGGTATCGTCTACCCAAACAAGAAGACAAAGACCTTGCCCCAAACAGCTTACAGTCTACAACAATATCAATCTTAGTTTCCACACACATCTCAGATACTCTAACATGCTGGACTATTGCAATGAACTGGCTAGTGTGCATATGTACCAATGCCACCTATTTAATCAGAACTGCTCATCTGTGTGTCAGAGGCTCTGTACTGCTAGCCGAGATTCTCCTTTAGTCAAGGATAGAAGCTTGGAGTGGAGATCTGAATTCTACTACACAGTGTCCCTGTGAAGTTGTGAGTGGCCTATGTGCTGCATAGTGATACCCGCAAAGTTACAGGTGGTCATGGTTTTATTACAATATAGCACACTGATTTAGGGAAACAGTTACATTCCCATTCACCATTTGGTTTCATTTTTCCTCTAGATATTTGTGATCGCATCAGTTCTGAAGTACTTCTCCACAATAACACTGACGTTCTTACCATAGTTTTTGCAAAGTATTCTGCATGTTTCCTTAAACTTTGTGTATTTCTTCACACTGTTGTATGTTTCAGCTAACCTGCTGCATTCACCTTCACTGGTATTGCTGGACTTTGTTAATAACAGATTTTTCTGTGCAGCAGGAGTGTAGTTTATTTATTGCCTTCACAACACACTCAGCTGGAAAGGTTTTAGAAATCTGCAATCTCACTAGGATGCTTCTTTGTGTTTTTCTTCTCTCTAGAGCTAGTTTACATGCTGCTCAATCATAAGCAAACACAGATGAGCAATTGGAATCTGTACTTATCCATCTCCGTTTGCATACTAACAAGGCAATGACAAGAAGGGCTCATTAAACTGAGGCGGCATTAAAAGGGGAACAAATTTAAAAGGACTTTTTTTTTGAAGCCTCAAGCCAAATCTTCTTTATTCACTGATATTTTTGTAAAAGTTCATGCATTATTTACTGTAAATGACACTTTAAAAAAAACCACATTATTCAGGCTATAAAAGATATACTGATGCATAGCAGAACCCATTTTTCAAGTGCACTGCATAGGTTTTAACCTCAAAGTTCCCATGATGGAGTCAGGTGAATGGGAGGCTGGTGGCTAATTCCCCACAATTACACTAAAAACATTTCCAAATTGTGGTTTTAAGGAGGTGCCTCCACATTGCCACCTGCCGTGGCTTCTGCCTCATCTTAGGTCATTATGCTTCAGCATCTGCTAGGGATGCTTGTGGAATTATTCTGCTGTAACCCACATAGCCTTGGAAATCCTCCTGCACTCTAGAGCTTTAAGAGTTTGGAGAAATCTGCGTTTCCCTCTTCACCAGGCTTTCTAATGTCAGTAGTTCTCCCTCACTGACACGCTTCCAGATTCTCTAAATCAACATCTTCAAATGCTGACTTCATGACACTCACATGCTCTCTAACAAGCTTGGGCTCCTCTTGTGATTTTGATTTCAGCTACAGAACAGCCATTGCTCCATTGCAGATTAAGGTGTGTGGAGCTAAATGCCAG